CTCAAATTCGATACAAACTCACTCGAACCCCGCTCCTTTTCACTGTATTTCATCTAGCGTATGGAGTAGCGTTATTAACAAGCCTAACGAAAACGAGCACGTCAGACCAAAATCGTTATAGCTAGGCCCAGAACCTAGCTATATAAGGATTTAATGACAAAAACCAATCTTAGGGCCAGAAGTTATATACCAGAAGTTATATGGCTAGAAGTTAAATATAAATAAAATAAGAAATAACAAACACTATAGAGGCTTCAAATGGAAATAAGGAAAACGATGTCTAATGTTCAGGTGAAATTTAGAGTTTGGGCTGTCGCTACGACACAATTTGGATGCGCCACGTTTTCAATTTCCACTCGAAATCGTATAGACATCTGGGAGCTCACTCGTTCGACGACTGGAAGGGCTCTTCAAAATGTGCGTAACTGAACTAAAACCAGCGCAGAGGGATAGAATTTGACGCGAAAAAAGACAAACCTTTGCAGCAGGGAAAACTTTATGGGATTGAAGCGCCCCCGACCGCCTTGAGTCGTGAGAGCTTTTGAATGCTTGACTAACACGTAGGTACTCTATGGCAGGGCCAGCCAACGTGCTGGACCGATTCCAAAATTTTTGCCACCCTCAGAAAGATTTCGATAAGAACATCCAAACACCACACGTCAAACGGGTAACCATCTAATACGATCCCCATCCCCCAATTCCGGAATCCCCATGTTCGGGTCGTTCGCACGGGCGCCTGACCCACCTCTGTAGTGGCTGCCAGGGGATAACAGTGTTTTTAGGCAAGCCTGCTGCTGTTGTATAAGTGGAAGGCAATTGTTTCCAGGACCGACCGTCAAGTAATTAATCAATTCTTTACATTCTAGGCGCAATTAATCAGGGATCCCTGGTGCACATTACTACTAGCCCCCATCAGGGTCAAGCGACGTGCAAGGGAGTTTTTCTAATACAGCCTCCCATCCTGGAAGGTCTCTCCAAAGAAGCTTTACCTTGCTCCACATCAGGGAATGGGCCGAACCATAAAGCCGGTCCGCATGGTTTTGAAGAAAATCGTGACTCATTGGTCCACAGTACTTCCCGAGAAGGGGATGCGGGAGCCAGAGTGGCAGTGGGACGACATGCCACCACCACCCTCTCGAGTCTGCAGATCAGGTTCCAGCAAGACCAGCCGAGCACTCCTCAATGGGTGGATTAATTGGTATCAGACTTGTCTGGGAGAACAAAAACACCGACATTAACGATTATTGCCTCGCCTCGCAAGTTGTTGAATAGGCCCAGATACGTACTCAAACGTCTGCGCGGTTATGGAGGCAAATATTTGGAATGCATAGCGCATCCCAGAGGGGTTGGGCAAACTTTAGTTTTTCTATCAGCATGGGATGTGCAGCGGTTCTTCCGTTCAGAGGACCACCTCCGCGTGGGCACCCGTTTGTGGAGCGCTACTCAGGAACTGATATCAGGGATCAGGCGAGATTCTTCATTCAGGATGACGCCATTGTTTACCTTCGGCACCTCAAGGTAAGCTGGCGAGTGTTTGTGCATCGTAGCTGCCAGCTATTACTCAGTGTCAGAGGAGAATGATAGCCGCTGTCGCCGGGGGCTCTCATAAATTTTTCGCCCATTTTGTATTACACTTCGGATTCCTTCGTTTGCGAGAAGAAAGTGTTGTGCTTCGCCGAAATATGCGTATAATCTTCGTATATTAGCATACATTATACGAAGTATTCTTTGGCCTTTCATTCGAATCGGCAAATCGAACATTATATCAACGCCAATTCGTAGCTCCTTTACCGAGAAAAGGGAAATAAAACTCCGTGAGATGAAAGCAAAGAACACCAGTAACATTAGAGGGCAATATATAAATTATGAAGTACCCACATATTACGTAAAAGCAGTATTACTTAAAAATCCAAAAAAAATACCAATATCGTAGCAATGCTACAGAGCGCTATTCATTTGCAGAGACCTGTCTGTTCTATCTATATTTTTGTCTGTCATCCGTCTGCTGTCTTCCGTCTCCTGTCTGTCTTCCCTCTGTCTGCTGTCGTCTGAATCTGTTGTCTGTGTCGTTCTGCCTAAATGTCTGTCCCGTACAACTTCGGTCTATCTGACGGTTTATCTGTGTGTCTGCCTTCTGTGCTGTTTCAAGTATCACTTGGTGGGCCAACTTTGGAAAGAGTAAGGCATGGTCCATGATATGCAAAGGCACATGATCTATGCGCATTCCATCCGCCCATTGGGCGACAATCTACGCAAAATGGTGGAGCATTGCAACCGAACCGACATTGCTCTGCAATGTCGAAACACCCTCAGTACTAGCACAAAGCATGCATAAAGAAATTTCTCGTTTGGAAAAGTCTGATCGCTTTAAACATGAACACAGTAAAAGTAAAGACAAATTGGCTGTGAGTGGCAATCGTAGGAAGTTTGTTCGATTGAAAAGAGGATAAAAAATGAGGCAACATACGTGGAGGTTAATGTTTACTTTGATAGATCTACTCTTTGGCATAGATCAATCACTTCGGGAATGCGCCATACATTCGAATTTCTAATCAGAAAAGGATCGATCATTTAACCCTTAATTTTATGAATGGTACAAAATGAGCCTAAAATGGTAATTTCAAATTTTTCAGAGATTCAGCCTCATTCTTTGGCGATATGGAGGGTAAACTCTGCGGCTGGGAGAGCTAACGTTTCAAAAACTACTCATTAGGCTAACACGCCTTCGATCAGAGCCTATAGAATGCACAAGCGAGAGGAAGAGATACTTCATCAAACCTGGACAACTCATGGCTTATTCAACCATCTTGACGGATCATGTCCTTGAGAAGCAAAGAGGGCTTGAATTCGCCATTCAAGCAAGGTTCGGCTCAAGAACATGCATTTAAGAATTCGAACTTTCAAAATCGCGAGATAATCCGACTTTCAAACAGTGATATGTAATGGATGCGAAGGTGGTTGGTGTGGGAGGGACGACTGACGAAGTTATTGGAGGGATGGGTTCGACGCGACAGACAGCTGTGCCTGCTGCTCAATCCTGCTTAGCCTGGGTCCGAGAGTTTCTTGTGATCCATCCGGGATCACGTGTCGTTATCCTGGACGGACGAGTCTCAGCCACAGCCGTGACTATGACGATCATTTCGCGCCCGCGCACACAGGGTGTAATTCCCGCAAGCGGCGTACGCTGGCGGATTCCACGGGCTCTGTTCTCTCATTCTCTCAGCTCTGCTGATCCATAGATTTCGCACGAAAAACTCATGATGGGATCTGCGGTAGGAACTCCGCGACCAGCATTCATTTAGGAACGTCCTCGATCGCGATAGCCCACCGCTCCTCGCCCTATCGGACGAGTTTAATCCTCGATTTTACATCAACATATGTTGCGTAGCCATTCTGTCAAGATGGGGAAAATCCCGAGCAGGCACTTGTTGACTAGGTACTATGTCCCATGATTCACATAGACGTCAGGTCTCCATCCATGTGATCTCAATCGCCCCTTGCCAAGGCTAGCTGATACGACAACAACTTATGCCCCTTATTTATTGAAAAGGTGCCCTGGTTCTTGTAGGGGTGGTTGTGCAGACCTTGTTTGGTCGTTAGGTTCGGTTTTCTCTGTCTGTCTATGCAATCCAGACAAAGCGTGCGACAAAATCACTTCCCAGCACTTAGTCACCCCCACGTTCCATATCTCAACCTGGTCTGGAAAGGCTCAGACCGCTTTCTTTCTTTAGCGTAACCCGGCCGAACATCCTCAAGTGCACGTGACGAGTTACGCGTTACGCGCCCGGGCTTGGAAAAGGGAAACAAACCACGACGCGCAGTAATCGCGCTCGTTCCGTGTAATGAGTCGCGTCGTCTCCCCGAAATAGGCGCTTGAAAC